AAAGGCGAAAAACCCATGAACAGAACCTAATTGGTTCAATTGGTTCGACTCATTCATCCAATTATCCGATGGATTCACAATTTTCCAGCTTAAAATCAATTATGTTGATAAGGTTGTGATATGTTCTACGAGTAGTCAATCACAAGGCCATTGCCCTTTGATTAAGCAACTAAATATATAATCTACACGGTCAATATATAGACTTTACTTGCGACTTTTCTTGTGTCACGCTTAACAATATTCTGAAAATTAAATTATTTCATTTTAAGTACATTTAACAAGTATTTTAACACAAACCGCATTATATATGATTTAGTACTTATAGATTTGAAATTGGCTTAACAAGCTACTTGGCCTTGTTTTGTGCCATGTAAAAATTGAGTCCAAGTTCGAGTGGACAACAAGCCAATCAGACTATGAGTACCTTGCGAGTAGCTTTTAACTAATAAAAATCCACCATTATAATCTAGTACATGGTACAAGAATATCTGAGAGTGGCATCCAAGAAATTGCTTCCATTGAAACTTGAATGCATGATTGGTGACCACAATTTGATGTGGTAGAGTTTGATTATTAACCAATTAGATATACCTTCAAAGTTTTTTGTTCGAACCAAATGAGTATAAATTTTGGGAAGGGCTCTTTTCACTTTTCCAAACCTGTCATAGACGTAGCACCAGTTTACCTTGCTTGATAATATTTCAAAACAACAGTTTGACTGCAGGTAATGTTAAGGGGTGTACATTCATATATGACAGGTTAGCCAATACTACTTTTAACATTTTTTTTTATCACCAACTAGAAACGCTTGAACCTTACATTTTAGTTTAGCTCAGTTCATCGTACTTACTGGGAATTGATGCTCTTCTTAGAAAATTCAAGAGGAACATCAAGGGAACATTAAGAAACTGGACAGGGTTTTCGTTCATCACAAAAAAACCGAAAGGCGTTTGTCCCCAACAGGACATCTGTCATTAGTCAAATTTACACAAGACAACTCACAAAGGAACTCAAAATGGCCAAGGATTTTTTAAATTTGGACAGGGAAATTCTGGGCGCAGTTTACAATATTGAGTAGCAGAAGATCATCGGCCTCTAGGTGAAAATTTCAAATCCTGGGTTTACCGAGGGGTAAACTGCAAATAACTAGGGTATTCTTGTTTACCTATGTTACATATTTAATCCTTGCCTTACAAGCCGCTAATCTGTTTGCAGTCTGCAAAAACTGCCAATAGAAGGATAAATGAAAAACATTGCTATTACGTATCCAACAGCAATATATGTAGGTAAATCTGGAGTTTCCAAAATCAATCAAATAGATACTTGGTGTGGGGCAAATCATTCTTGAAAAATAGAGCTGCGAGAAAAGTGTTACTCTTTCTGCTCACGCTGGCTGTTCAAGAATGAAGAATCTTACTAAATGACCAAAGCCTTCTATTGACATTCGGGTCTACATTTTGATCTTGGCTGAAGCATCATGTCAGCTTCTATGGCCAACTCTCCCACTCCTTCAACTACGTAAGACTAGCAATTTAGGAAAGTACAGGAACCTGTCATGGAAAACCTTCTTGTTGAAAGAAGATACTGATGAAAAGTCAGTCATGAATCTCAGAAGAAAAATGATTGTTCGCTACTTATTTACCTCTGTTGAGGAAATATGACTTATGCTTAACTTACACATATAGAACCACCTCCACATGCGGTCTTCATGCAAGCGAGTTGTGATTTGGCTATTGCTGAAGGTTGGCACCATGCCAAAGCTTGCAAAGGACTAAAACACCACATGAGAAGAGGTCGCTTTATATCAAGAATCATTTGAAGAGTATTAACAACACGGTGCACATGATAAAAGCCAATAGCAAGGAACTTCGGAATGCCTTTCCATAATGACATAGCTCATTCCTGCCTGTATCTCCATCCTGTGGTGTTTGGGGACTATCTCTGAGTTTCATGAAATGCAGCTTGAACTACACAAGAAGAATGGCACTGACTAATTATCAGTAAATGAAAAAAACCGACATCATAGCATCAAAATTTACCCCCTAAAAGATAAGGTACAAATGCCTAAACATCATTTACGCCAATCACAGTAGGACCACATTGAACAGAAACTTCATTAGCTGGCCAATGAAAAAGAAAACAACTGACTTGGGAGAAGTAAGCAATTAGCAACACTTCCCTTGTTTGTGTTTAGGAGCAGAATTGATGTTAATAATATTATGTTGAAAAGGTGAAGTGCCTAAACTACAGAACAGAAAGGTGTATTTGTTACTTGGTTATTGGCAATATCTAATCAGCAAAATCAGCAATACGGGATAATTTGTGAGGCCAATTTCAACTTTACGAATTCAATGCCGCATACATGAGGCTGAGCTTATCAAATCAGAAACCAATATGACGACATGCAAATGATATTATCACACAAATAAATGATAGATATAGAGGATCCTGTTAGTGCATACCTCCCTCTGCAGAGCCTCATCAAGTTGAGGAGTGATATCATTATAATGTAACCGCATCAAACAACTCTGCATCAGCGTAACATATAAAAATATCAGTGGCTACGTAATTGATTGACTGAGGTAGAACATAATGGGCATACAGAAAGAAGATTCAATTTTAAATACTACATTTACTATCGTTCAGGTATGTGCTGTTAAGACCAGATCAAGTGTTTTCGATCTTCACAAGCATCAAAACTTCCTTAGGACACTCCAGTTAGCTCACGAGCCTCTTCAAAGTTAGCACGCAAGATGGTCCTCGGCTGTTGCTCATGCTTCCTCTGCAAAATCCCTTTTCTTCATTTTGATTGGTCTAAGGCATGAAAGTTGAAGTTCCTCATCCAAGTTAGCCACACCCAAATCAGTCATGTGACAAAACAACTCCATGACAACTATAGGATCAAATGGGATGTAAACTGATTAGCAAATTCTTGAGCTCCTCGCCCCAGCTTGTTTCACGGAAGGGCAAAAAATTTGTTCAATTAGGCAAAAGGTCATCAATACAGCTTATTGAATTGAAGTCCCAAAGTAAGTCTTGATCATCACATAAGACCAGCCAAACCTGTCATAAAAGTAGCAATAGTTGACCTTGCTTGATAATCTTTCAAAACAATAGTGTGACTACTGATAATGTTAAGGTGGTCTAAAACCATATATGATAGACTTGCCAAAACTAATTTTGCATTTTTTTTTATCACCAACCTGAAACACTTGAACCTTGAATTTTATTTTACCTTGGCTCCTCATAGTTACTGAGAATTGATGTCCTTCTTAGAAGGTTTAAGGGGAACATCAAGGGAACAATAAGAAACTTGACAGGGTTTTTGTTCATCACAGAAAATTGAAAGGTGTTTGTCCCCAAAATCAATCAAATAGATACCCAGTGTGGAGCAAATCATTCTTAAAAAAGAGAGCTTCGAGAAAAGTATTACTCTATTCACTCACGCTGGCTGTTCAAGGATGAAGAATCTCACTAGACGACCAATGCCTTCTATTGACATTTGGGTCTACATTTTGATCTTGGCTGAAGCATCATGTCAGCTTCTACAACCAACTACCCTGCTCCCTCAATTATGTAAGACTAGCAATTCAGGAAAGTGCAGTACCCTGTCATGGAAAACCATCTTGTCAAAAGAAGATGGTGATGAAAAGTAGGACATGAATATTAGAAGAAAAATGATAATTTACTGCTTATTTACCTATGTTAAAAATACATGACTTGTCTCACTGTTGGCACGCAAGATGGTCCTCAGCTGTTGCTGATGCTTCCTCTGCAAAATCTCTTTTCTTCATTTTGATCGGTCTCAAGTCTGGAATTTGAAGTTTCTCAGCCAAGTGAGCCATACCCAAATCAATCATGTGATAAGCAATTTCATGACAACAATAGGATCAAATGGGATGTAAACTAATTAGCAAATTCTTGAGCTCCTTGCCCTAGCTTGTTTCACAGATGGGCAAAAAATTGTCCAATTATGCAAAAGGTCATCAATACAGTTGATTGAATTGAAGTCCCAAAGTAAGCCTTGATCATTACATAGACCAACCAAACCTGTCACAGAAGCAGTAGCACCAGTTTACCTTCCTTGATAATATTTCAAAACAACAGTTTGACTACTGGTAATGTTAAGGGGGTGTACATTCATATATGACAAACTAGCCAAAACTGCTTTAACATTTTTTTTTATCACCAACCAGAAACACTTGAACCTTATATTTTATTTTAGCTCAGTTCATCATACTTACTGGGAATTGAAGCCCTTCTTAGAAGGCTCAAGAGGAACATAAAGGGAACATTAAGAAACTTGACAGGGTTTTCATTTATCATGAAAAACCGAATGGAGTTTGTCCCAAACAGGACATATGTCATTAGTCAAATTTGACACAAGGCAACTCACAAAGGAACTCAAAATGGCCAAGGATTTTTCAAAGAAAAATATGAATTTTGGACAGGGAAAATCTGGGTGTAGTTTACAATATTGAGTGACAAAAGATCATCAGCCTCTAGAAGAAAATTTCAAATCCCAGGTTTACAGAGAGGGAAACTGTAAATCACTAGGGAATTCTTGTTTACCTGTGTTTGATATTTTCATCCTTGCCTCACAAGCTGCTAATCTGTTTGCAGTCTACAAAAGCTGCCAATGGAAGGATAAATTAAATGCATTGCTATAACGTAACCAACAGCAATATATGTAGGCAAATATGGAGTTTCCAAAACCAATCAAATAGAAACCCGGTGTGGAAAACATCATTCTTAAAAAATAGAGCTTCAAGAAAAGTATTACTCTATTTGTTCACGCTGGCCGTTCAAGGATGAAGAATCTTACTAGATGACCAATGCCTTTTATTGTCATTTGGGTCTACATTTTGATCTTGGCCGAAGCATCATGTCAGCTTCTATGACCAACTCCCCCACTCCTTCAATTATGTAAGACTAGCAATCTAGGATAGTTCAGAATCAGAACCTGTGATGGAAAACCTTCTTGTCAAAAGAAGATAGTGATGAAAAGTAGGTCATGAATCTCAGAAGAAAAATGATTGTTCACTGCTAATTTACCTCTGTTGAGGAAACATCACTCCATGAGTCGCAAAACAGCTTTAATTCATAATTTCTAAAATCCAGATAATTCCGGTATCGCTTCCAATGAGTCGCAACCAAAAATATTCAAATCAATTGAATCCAACTTTTCAAGTCCCCGAAGCTGAGTAAGTTTCTTGCAATTGTAAACATTTAGAGATCGTAACTTCTCACATCTCGTCAAATTTGGCAAAGTCTCCAATGATTCGCATGCTCCAAAATCCAACTTTTCTAAGAACTTCGCACCGTCAAGACCTCTAATTTCGACTAGATTGTTGCACATGTATATCCGTAATTCCTTCAAACACCGTGATTCTACACAGAGAAGCCTTTTAATGGAATTGCAGCGACATATAGACATGTCCTCCAAGAACTCCAAATTGCCCTGAATTTCAACTAGCTTATTGCAATCCTCAACACGTAATCGTTTCAAATGAATTAATTGTGAAAGGTCCAATCTTTCAATTGAACTGCACTTTTTTATTGAAAACTTTTCCAAGTACTCACATCCGTTGAGCTTAAGCAATATCAGCTTACCACAATTCTCAATATGGAGTTTCAAGAGTCTTGAGGGAAGCTCGGGGATGTATTCAAGTAGATGGCATGCCCGAAGATGGAGTTTTTCTAGGTGGATTAGGCTAGAAAGATTTAGCGACCTGGGACTCTGAGAAGCGACATACAGATACGTTAAGCCCATAGGAAGCTGCTCTGGCAGCGACTGGAGCCCTGTGTAAAGGCGTTGGAGAGAAGAAAGATTCCGGATGCTTTCTGGCAGGTCAGATATCCGTGCCCAAGCCATGTCGAGAATCTCGAGCGAAGACAAGTCACCGATTTCACTTGGAATTGCCCGTTTCAGGCAAGGGCATGTATTGAGACGTAGAGTTCGCAGATTTTTCAACCTTCCAATAGCACTGGGAAGCTTTTCAATCCCAGAACAACTCAAGTCCAGGTGTTGCAAATTCTGTAGATCCCCAATTGAGCTAGGGATTTCTCTCAGTGACTCACAATGGACGGCACTCAGTTTCTTCAGCTTCCTCAGAGAACCAATAGACGTAGGGATCTCTGTAATACAAGATTCATCTAATACAAGTTCTTCTAAATCTTTTAATTCGCCCACTTCCCGTGGTAGCTCCTTGAGACTCCAACAGCCATTCAAGTCCAAGGAAACGAGGCTCTTGAGTTTGCCAAGAGAAGGGTGGAGATGCTCCAGACTCCGACAAGTTCTAAAGGTGAGGATCTTCAACTGCGTGAAAGCCGAGAGATCAGGAGTACATCTTAAATTATAGCAGCATCTGAGGTCGAGAACTTGTAGCCGCTTTGCCGTCTACACAAGAAGAGGAGAATAAAGCTGTCAAAAGAATGAGTGGGGGATCGGCTAAACAAAAACAAAGCGCAATCTTAAATCACAGAGAGAGAGAGGATTGTCTTCTTTTCCCCAATCTTACCGTGATCAAACTCCATCCTTCCCAATCCTCTGTGATGATGTCGCTGTGTGATAATTCCAGCACCGATAAGTTCGGTAGATGCAAACTGATCGTCGGAAGAGGCGGATCGTCTCCCAAGACGCAACATTGAGAAATTCGGTAGATGCAAATCCGTTGGAGTCTCCGCTTGATGCCGCTCCATGATAAATCCAGCACCGATGATTTCGGTAGATGCAAATTGGTCGTCGGAAGAGACAAATCGCTTCCCTTGACCCGCCACTGAAGCCATCTTACTTCAGAAAGGAGTTCGTTAGAAGAGTCTCCGCTTGTAGCTGCCCGCATCCAGTCCGTGACCGAGAAGGGGCTCTGCAAGTTTTTTCAAAGGGTTCATCTGTGTACCTCTGGATATGGCGGAAGTAATTCGAGTAGACCAAAAAAATGACGGAATCCTTTTCAATTCCCCTCCAGTTATATCCAATCAATCCATTGAGAGTCTCTAAATTGACTTTTTAACTTTTTTATTTTTTCTAAATCTTGGATTTGCACGATTTGTTATCTTCCTATCACTCCTGTACATAAATACGGACACCTGATTTCGCATTTAATTTTTTTAAAATAATTATTGCTTTAAAACAACTAAGGCAAATGCACCTCAATGTTTTATCATTTGCTCGCTTTTTTTTTCAAATTATACGGCGCGTGCACTTTGAATTTTATTTAAGACGAAATACATGAAACCATTTTATAACACACAAATGTTTACTTGTAAATTTTCATATGACTTGTGTATAATTTTTCAAAAGAATTTGTCAAAGAGTTCTAGTGAGCTACCTTTAAGTACCTAAGGAAGGACCCGATTTTCATTTCATTAACTATATTTGTGGAGTGTTTAATCATTATTTTTTTTGAAAACTGAAACTTTTTTTTTTGTAAAGTATGTTTAAAAAGAGATGTGGTGACATTGGCTAGCAAAGCACTTTTTTAGATCTTAAGCAATATCGTTAAGCAAAACCTGTCATATGGAAGTTTTTGGATAAATCACTTATTTTTATTTACCAAAAAAAAAAGCAAAGACACATGTCCGTTTGCATAAGAATGTCACTGTTTCTTTTTGCATTTTATAAGTCCAAACATACTGTCATAATTTCCTTCTAAAACAGATCATTTAATTAGTTGAAGATGGTGAAAAAAAATCCCACATGGCTTTGATTGACTTTAATAATAATACCTATATTTTCCCCCAAAAGTTCAATTGGTTAGAATTTTTTTTTGGTTGGTTTGATTCACTTTTACGGTACGACTCGTTTGTCGTTATCTCTACTTTAAATATTAAATAGTGAAAAACCTGCAATGGTTATAATTTCTCTTAAGTTTGTTCGTAGGAAAAGTCACTAAATTGTTGTAATCATCACCCCACGCTATCTTTCATTATTTTCGCTCGTACATCAATATATACGGTATATTGCATTAAAAAGTCTACTATGTGAAAATGGGATTTCAAACCTCAAACTTTCGTCAAAAGTTTACACACAATTACACAATTTTTTTTCCTAGAAAGTAAGAGCATATGTTCATGCTAGATGAAATATTAGAATAGATCAGATTAAATATTAAAATAAGAGGGAGAGCAAAAGAAAGGAGTGCCATATTTTACCATATCTTCCGATACTACTCTTGAGGCTCCCCTGTAGTTGCAATCCCATGGCCCCCTACGTTTGTCAAGCGGTTGCCCTTGACAAAAAATGCTCCTTCCTAGATCTCTCAGTTGATCATGCATCATAAACTCACCATCATCTCCAATTTTAATTAAGCACCTCAACTTCAACTCTTCAATTCCTTGACTTGGATAAAACCCGCAGTCTTCCCACATGTACATGGCGAGTTTGTGCATTTTGCTATCTGCGCCAATAAAGAAACAAACAATATCGAGAAAAATCTGCTTATGTCCTTCTTCTAATGCATCATAACTTATTTGCAATATCTTTTGGACATCTTTATGTGGTTGGCCTTCTAATTGCTTCCGCACATCTTCCCATACTTTTCGATTCGTTTTTTTGTACAAGTATGAACCTACAACCTGAAGTGCCAAGGGAAGCCCACCCATGGTCGATATGATATCACGAGATATACCCTCAAAGTACGTCGGAGAATGGTTCATACGAAATGCATGTCTGTTGAACAAAAGCAAAGCTTGCACCTCATCCAATTCATTCAATTCATACTTGTAGTCTACCTCGAATTCAGATTGATCAAGAACGGCTTCATTTCTAGTGGTAACAATGATCATACTTCCTGCTATAAACCAGCTACGTTCCCTAGCCAACGAATCTAATTGATTCTTGTCATCTATATCATCCAGAAGAATGAGAACCTTTTCTCTGAATCTAGATTTGATTATATTAATTCCATCATCAATTCTAGACACTTCCTCTTTTGCATTTAGTATATCCAATATAAGTTGACTCTGTAGATACGTAATACCGTGGCGCCTGGTAGTTTCTCGAACATCCGGAAGGAAGCTGACATGCATAAATTTATTTGAGAGTTGATTGTAGATACACTTGGCAAGAGTTGTCTTGCCTATCCCGCCCATGCCATAGATTCCAATCATTCGAGCATTAGTGGCAGGAGTGTCTACCCAATTCCTGATTTTGTTCACATGATCACCAATTCCAACTAAGTGCTTAGTAACATCAAGCTGAAAATCTTGTCGTAACTCGCTCAGAACCTTTTCCTTAACTTTTTCCACTAATTCTCCTTCATGCCTGTCCAACAACAAAACTCAATTGATAATTTCGTAATTATACTTAATCTCATCAAAAGACACTGACATACATGTGAAGGATGGATGGGGCCAATTAACATGCAAGATGTTTTGGTTTCACAAAAAACAATGGGTGATGATAGCTAGCAATCGTTTCATTTTTTTCTCTTTCGTTAGATGGATCTTGTTGAAATAGAATAAGACGGTGCACCTGGCTTGTTAAGAGTCTTTAGAAGTATAATATCTGTTACAAGGCTTAAGATTGTTGCTAGTTGAATGAAAGGAGATCGATATTTTTTTTATTAAAAAAAGTTTAGGAGAAAAGGAGGTTACTCCACTAAAAGGCTAGGGCAGCACACATTATGAGTGATCGGTTCCAGAGTGGGTTGATTTTAGACCTGGAACCTAAAACCAACCTTGTTATAATTGGTTCCTAATTTTTTGAAACTGGAACCTACTCTGTTTGCCCTGAACCTTGTTTTGGAACCTACCTTATTTTTTCGATCCGGTTCCAGGATCTACCCAAGAACCTATTTTTTTTGTTCCTTTTTTGGGTTTCATTTTTTCCACGTAGCAAATAGGAAAACTTATAACTCAAATCAAAGGTTATAAGTTTGATTGTGCAAAAAATCTTAAGTATTCATACAAAAGCAGATTATCTTAGTCCCAATAATTTAATGGATGTGATAAAATAGCATAGGTTCTAGTTAGATATGTAGTTTCTTTGTTACAAAACAAAAATTTTAAGAAAAAGGAAATTGCTCCCTATAATGCTTACAAGCCCTTGAGTTAGATTATCCGCAAATAATGATCACCTCTCTCTTCATTTCTGATATCATGCTTTGAATTCTGGTCATATAAAATTGCAAGTGGACCTCCATATAAAACTGGTTCTAAAACCGGTCTGAGTGGTTTTCACTTGAAACCGGAAACCGGACCTACTCTAACCGATTCCCAAAAAATGGAACCGGTTCCCGAACCTATTTTTCGGGTGGGCTGGTCCAGTTGCACACCCCTAGCACACACGTCTAAATTGAGGACTTATAGTTGATTTACAGATTGCTACCAATGGGGTTTACTGATTGTGGAAATCAAACCTAGACATGGTAATGTGAAGTAAGTGTTCGGTCCTTTTCAACTGAGCCAACTTTCATTGGCATGAGGAGGTCTATTGTATTTGGGGGTGATAAAGCTTCGGAAGACTAAGCATTCGAGTCCTCTCTAAGCGTATTGTTTGGTAAATGATACTACTGACAAGAGGGGTTGTCATTTTTTTGATTTTTTCTCCGTTGGAAACCACTGTGATTCATCTGTTTCACGTGAACAAGAAAACTCACTTATCAAAAAAGAAAAGTTCAGGTGGAAGCAAAGTACCCGTTAGCAACTTTCTTGGATTCCCATCCATGTAAGTCACTCACTTCTCTAAGTGCTCGCTGCCCTTCCTGGATATCCTTCTCATCAAAATGCTTCTTATGCGAATGGAATGCCTCTCCAAAACTTCCTTTTAGATACCGCACATCCGATGGGTCCACTTTGTAAAAGATGGGCAACACTATGTGTGATGTGCTCTTCTTGCGGTCCATGATATGAATGAGCTCGCGGAGGCACCATTTGCTCGAAGCATAATTTTCAGAGATGACGAGAATTGAAATCTTAGACTGTGCGATGGCATCGAGAATCTGTGAATCAAATTCCTCGCCAATTGGTATGCTGTTATCGTCCCTGAACACGCAAATCGGTACTGTCCCTGCCTTGATCAGACTGTGATAGAGGTGATCAGTGAATGCCTTGCGGGTATCCGAGCCTCTAAAGCTCAAGAACACATCGTATTGACCGCTACCTACATCCGTGGGTACCGGAGAGATGAACGAAGAAGTGGATGCTCCCTCAATGCTCTCTTCCTCTGCTCTCTTTCTCTTACTCTGCCCTTTGTCCATGGTGATATGAGGGGGAAAGTAAAAACGAAAAGATGTTTTTTTGCTGCTTAAAAGGATTGACGACCAACGAAATATGCTTTTAGGATGCTTTTTTGCAAATACTTGTTGGCTTGGTCCACTCTAGACAACGTGGACGTCAATTTCTCCACTAGGCAAAAGCTGAAGAAGGTTTGCGTTCTTGAGAAAGGACTTCAATTGA